ACACACACACACACACACACACACACACACACACACACACACACACACAAGCGCAAGGGAAGCCAGGCCCGGGGAGGAGGGAAAGGGATGAGCCAGGTGTTAGAAGAGAGGAGGACTCTTGGGTCGGGTTTTTGTGGGTCAGACAGACAGTCCAGGTTGGAATAGATAGGAATAGCAAGATGTCAGCTCTAAGCAGCACGCTGAGATTAGAAACACCTCTGATGCCTGCTTAGGTTTTTAAGCAGAGAAAACTTTTTTTTCTTCCCGTGGGAATGCCCCCAAAGTCAGACTGGAGGGGGAAAATGCTGTTTCCTACCCTAGCCCAGGCAGCTTGCAGGGCAGGAGATACAAGCCCGTGTGAGGAGGGTCCCGTTGCAAAGCTCAATTCTATAGAGTTAGTTAACTGTCAATTTGGAGCATCTGGCGAGAGGTGGAGGAACTGGTAAGATTTTATTTGGTGGTCTTTGTATTTCCCCAGAAGCTCGAAAAACACCAGTTCAGCTCTTGGGCCACAGTCCTTCCTGGCTGGTCTATCTGAGCTAAAAGAGCTTTGTCAGGGCCACAAGGGTTAGCTGGTAGAAGGGGGACATCAATCTTGAGACACTGGGTTCTCACTACTTTTGGAGTCATTTGGTAAGCTGCTCAGGGCACCCTTCACTGCCTCCTCATCCCCCAATATAGCTTTATAAAAGGAGATTTGGAGGTTACCCTAAGCTATGCAACTAAAACCAATTCCAGAAGAATATTCAAAATGTCCCCCCCCCCCATTAGGTGGCTCATCATCTCTAGGCTAGCATGATTTCCCAGCACCAGGATAACACCTATGAGAGGAGAGGGTAAGAGGAGCCAGTGTGTGTGTGTGTGTGTGTGTGTGTGTGTGTGTGTGTGTGTGATCACAGACTGGAGCCGGTGATCTCAATTCCACAGGGAGGTAAAAGGGGCTGTATGGTAGAAATGGCTGTGAAGAGCCAAAAGGCTACACCAAGAATTTGTAAACCCAGTCTAGGCACACTGACTAGCAAAGAGGTCTAAGATATATATATATATATATAAAAAATACAGCTAAGACGTGTAAACTTCTGCCCAAGGGCCCTTTGCAACACCACATCTTCCAGTAACTCAGGTGCAAAATTAAGATAGGTGGCACTCAAGAGTGCTTTTGCTTCTGGCTTCACGAATAACACTACTGGACTTTAGCTGGGTGGGCTCAGTGGCACCGGTCTGTAATCCTAGCACTGGGGAGGCAGAGGCAGGAGGATGGCCAAAACCCGGTCTTCCTAGTGAGTTCCAGGCCAGTCAGGGCTGCTTAGGAGACTTTGTCTCCAATTTCTGTATCTTTTTTTTTTTTTTTTTTTTTTTTTTTCCCGAGACAGGGTTTCTCTGTGTAGCTTTGCGCCTTTCCTGGAACTCACTTGGTAGCCCAGGCTGGCCTCGAACTCACAAAGATCCGCCTGGCTCTGCCTCCCGAGTGCTGGGATTAAAGGCGTGCGCCACCACCGCCCGGCTCCAATTTCTGTATCTTAATAAAAATATCGACATGAATAAAGACGCTGGGATGGTCCATCAGAGACTTATGTGTTCGGTAATGTTTAGTAATATTAACTTCAAAATTTAAAAAGTGACGATGAACAATTTTAATTTGTTTACGGATATAGTTGCTGTACTATTCAGGGATTGTCTCCCATTCACTCTGAAAATGCATTTAGGGAGGCAAGATGGGGGTATGGCTAGGTGGACAAGCCTGGGGAGCGGGAGATGTTCCTAGGATTCAGAAGTGGTGCTTACAGGAAAATTCATTCAACCTTGATATTTAAATAAAATGTTGGGTAAACAGCAACACTGACCCCCAGCCTCCCATGAAAACCCTGCAACAAACTCCCACCTCCTTCCCATTCCCTTGCAGTAATTTTATATCTGTTCAATTTTTAAGGGGAGAGAGAGAGAGAGAGAGAGAGAGAGAGAGAGAGAGAGAGAGAGAGAGAGCAGAAGAAAAGAAAAAGAACCCAAGGGGTAAAATTGGCAATAACACTTTAATATAGATTTGTGAAACTCTGGCCATTCTAGCCAGAAGACACATTTATAAGCCATAAATAAAGCACGCAGAAACCATAAATTAAATCAGACCCGAGACCTGGATTTCACCATGTCCAGAATGGGATGCATTTTTTTTTTTCTTTCTCCTGGTCATTTACACCAGACTCTTACATTATTGTTTTTCTCTTTTTAAACATCAGTACAACCCTCTGGTTCTCTGTTAAAACTACATGGTTTTATACCAAGTCACTCACAAAGTTTTTGTTTGTTTTTAAAGTCAGACTTCCCTGCAACATCAACAATAATGAACAACAACAAAAATCAGAATCTGCAGGTGCCTTGAGAAGGAGGAGTCTATAGGGTCTACCACAGGCTCCTATAAAATTGTTTATATATATATATTTCCATTCTCTTCCCTATTTAGAATGACAGATCACTGCGGCCCATCTATTTAGGGGCACAGACAGTTAGGTGAGACTGCTCTCTTGGGGCCTGAAGTGTGGTGGCTATTTTTTCCTCAAAGCTCTCCCAGAGTCTCTAGACAGCCTCTCTTCTCTCTGGCCCTTCTCCCAGTGGCCAGAGCTAGCAGGGCCTGAAAACCATCTTCTTAGGAGGAGTTCATAATAGGCCTGGAGTACACTCCCTGGTAGTAGGAGGTGTCTGCAGCCAGGGGCGAGGCATCCAGGCCCGCTTTGTTCGTGACTGGGCCCATGGCCAAGCTGCCTGGCATGGGGGAACCATAGCCCCCAGGGTAGTGCATGACTTGTTCATAGGCCTTGAGGTCCATTTTGTGGGGCTGATGGTGGTGGTGGCTGTGGTGGTGTTGTTGCTCGGAGGACATAAGGTTGTTGATAGAGAAGGGATGGTTGAAGGCGTAATGGTGCTCCGGCTTCAGGTGGGCCTCCGGTGGTAGGCCTGGGTGATGAGGTGGACCCAGCAGGTGGGCTGCAGCCTGCTGCTGCTGCCCAGGCGAGGGCGCCGGCTCCGGGGGACTCAGCGCGGAGGCAGGTGTTCCCTTCAGCTCGCCCAGGCCGCCTCGCTTGTGTTCCTGACACGGGGAAGAGCTCGAATGGGGGGACTCGGTGCCCGCCGGAGTCTCAGAGGCTGAGCCCGCAGCCTCCCCGAGTTGAGCCTGCGAGGCCTGGGTCCCAGCAGCTGTCTTCTTGCCTCCGCCGCCGCCTGCTCCCGCGGCTTCCTTCAGTGCCAGCTGCTTCTCACATTTGAAGCGCTTCTGGCGGCGCAAGTAGCAACCGTTCTCGAACATGTTGCCAGAGTCAGGGTGCAGGGTCCAGAAGGAGCCCTTGCCAGGCTTGTCCGGCGAGCGGGGCACCTTGAGAAAGCAGTCGTTGAAGGAGAGCGAGTGACGGATGGAGTTCTGCCAGCGCTGCTGGTTCTGTCGGTAGAAAGGGAAGAGGTCCATGATCCACTGGTATATCTCGCTCAGTGTCAGCATCTTGTTGGGGCTCTGCTGGATGGCCATGGTGATGAGCGAGATGTACGAGTAAGGAGGCTTGGCGTGTGTATAGCTGCGTCGATAGGTCTTGGGGTCCCGCGCACGACTCAGGCCCGCCTGCCCGTACATGGGGCTCATCGAGTTCATATTGGCATAGGGAGCAAGGCCACCCATGGCCCCAGCCGCCTGTCCCCCGAGGGGGCTCAGGCTCGGACTCAGATGAGGTCCCATGCCCGCCACACCGGCCGCCCCAGCTGAGCCGCTCATGCCCGCCATGGCGCCCGCGCCCGGGGACATGCCAGCTAGCGACGGGCTCATTCCAGCGCCCACATACGATGACATGTTCATGGAGCCCGCGCTCATGTTGCCGGAACCGCTGCCCATAGCGGCCGCGGACATGCTCATGTAAGTGTTCATCCCGTTCATTCCCAGGCCGGCGTTCATGTTGCTCACGGAAGAGTAGCCCTGCAGACAGAGCCCGGGGAGAAGACAGGTTAGCACCTAGGCTGAAAGTGCCAGACCCCCCAACTCATCGGTAGGACCCAGTGTTCCGCCTTTGTGGAGGCCTGGGGGGGGGGAATCTCTTTTTTTCCCTGGGTCCCAGTCCACCAACACCAATTCCTCTGTGCCTCAAAGCGAGCAGGGCGGGTGATCGCTCTAGGAGAGGTGGCCAGAGAGCTGCAGTTCAAGGCTTGGGACTCCTCGCCCAGATTCTAGAACATCGGTGCCCTAGACCACCACCAAGTCAGGCGTCCCAAATGTATTTTACTCTCTTCGGGGGCTCCCCAAACCCTCTGGCTGGTATACTGAGTCAGCACCAAGCAATCTCCTTTGCTATCCCTGGTCGCCAAAAGCCACCTTTGGAACGTCACTGGGGCAGTCTCAAGTGGAAATAGTCTCCGTGTCCCCTATTCTGGGCCTTCGTACCGGGATCCCACTCCTTAGTCACAGGGGAATGAAGTGCAGTGCCTGCGCAGAGTCCGCGGGCGGTTGGAGGCATTGCGTGGAGGAATAGGGAAGGGACCGCCAACTCGGCTAGGAACTGTGAAGCGTCCTGGCTTCATCGCCACAAACTTTCTTTCTCTTTGTCCACTAGTCTTTGACTCTTTGCCTGCACCTCTGTCCCCAACTCCTACCCACCTTCTCTTCTGCAGCTCCCCACCCCCTCGCCAGCCGACCTCCCACCCCTCCCCAGCCGCGCGCTGCCAAACATAACTCTGTTAGGATAGTGCGTGGCTCGGCCACGAAGAGGATTTGGAGGCGCCGCAAGTCAATATTTGATCACAAAGTTAATATTATCTCAAGGCTAACAGTGTGTCGTATAAAAAAGAGACCCATTTGAGTCGAAGGAGGGCGGAAAAGGCGGCTGTCCAGGAAGGCTAGGGGTGGGGGGGCGGGTGCCCGTGAAGGGAGCGTGCGGAGGCTGGGGACGCGGAGATAGCTACCACCCCACTTTCCCCTGGCGAAGGCCAGCGCTTACCTCCGGCTCCGCGTAGTAGCTGCTCCAGTCGGATGGCTCGTGCCCTTCCATCTTCACGGCTCCCAGCATACTGGAAGCCGAGTGCATGGCGGTTTAAAATTTAACAGCCACAACAAACGACCAGCAATCAGCCCCCACCCCCACCCTCTTAAAAAAAAAGTCAGCTAAGGCACTGTCCCCTCCCTCCCTCCCTCTCTCGCGCTCCCTCTCTCTCTCTCTCTCTCTCTCTCGGCTCCACTTCCTCTCTCTCCCGCGGCCTGCCGCGGGAGGTAGCTGGGAGTGGGCGGGAAGGTAGCTGGCGAAGGAGGGGGTCAAAGAACCTAGGAGGCCGGAACCCGAGCCGTGCCGTCGGGCGTGCCCTCCGTCGCCGCGCTCCTGGGGCTGCCGGTTCAGGCTGAGGCTGGCAGTGTCGAGCTGCCGGGAGGCGGCGGGAAGCTAGCGGCGCGGGGGAGGGCGGGGGGGAGAGCTAAAGGAGGGGGAGGAGGAGGTGTGGACCGCGCAGCGGACAAGTGCCGCAGTGACGTGGGCGGCTGGTGATATAGCGCGGCGCGCTGGCGCAGGCCTCCAATCCCCAGACCCCGGGCAGCCCATTTGAATAATCATCTCACACTTAGGTGAGAGGAAGCCGGGGCCCGCTCTCCGCACCTGCCGCTGAGCCGGGAGCCAGCCCAGCTCCTGCTGTCCCCCGCACTCCCAAGACCCGAACCTGCGAGCAGGCGCGGGGGCGCCCTGGTGGAGTCCCTTTCTTTGCGTCCACGGGGAGTCTTCCGTGGACCCAGACACCTGGGATCAGGCCACCCCTGGAGAAGCTCTGGACTCCTGTCCCACCCCTCCTCTTCTCCCTGAGCACCGGGCTCATCAATCCGAGGGCGCGTACGGCCTCGGTGCCCCGCAGAGCCGAGGCTAGCCAGATTTATTTATGCCAGCTTTCTATCCTCTCCGCGCACATTCCCTGTCAAAACAACAAGCAGGTGACAGCCAATTTGCTAAGCGCTGTCCTATTTAGAAAAACTGTGTACACACCTTTAACTCGCTGGCCGCTGCTCCGGAGGCCCCTCCCTGTTACAGTTAAGTCCCGAGGCGGCCTCGGGAGGCGGGCAGGATACGCATGGTCGGGCCGCCTTGGTTGTCAGCTACCTCGGACCTTTTTCTGGCTACCTACCCCAGGCGTCCCGGAGAGCACCTCTTAGTAGCAGCCAGTGCCTGGTAGGCTGCGATTTGTCTCTGACATGCGGACCTCGGTGTTTCAAGGTTACTCTTCAGTTACATCCAAGGTGCCCACAGCATTTCGTAACTAAAACAAACAGGGCAGCGGTGGGGGTAGGGCAGGAGGGGAGAGAGAAAAAGGAATCAATAACAGGCCTTATGGGATGACTTCAGGAGGATCCGTGTTCTCTCCGCCTGCCGAGGCAGGGATCGTTTTATAAAATTTGAAATGATCAGTTTCTTTTTTTCTTCAGCTTCTGGGTGTTTAAAAAAATGTCATGTGAGTGTGGTGGCCCATGCCTTTGATCCCAGCACTCGGGAGGCAGAGGCAGGCTGATCTCTGACGTGGAAACTGGCCTAGTCTACATACAAAACGAGTTCCAGGACAGCCAAGGCTGCACAGAGAAACCCTGTCTCGAAGAACAAAACCAAACCCAAAACAATAGAACATGCCATTTGTATTGTTTGCTACCAAGACTATGATAAGCCAAGATTTTGGAGTAGAGGGTCTTGCAGGCAAACGGTTATATGTGGACGTTTTCTTTGGTTCTGAAAATGTGACTGAAATGCAGGGATACAGTCCTGAACTCTTCTGCCTCAGAAACGGAGAAAATAGGGAATTTTGGCCCCTGGCTCAAATCCAGATGTCCCGAGTTGGAAGAGGTGGTAGCAGAGGATAGGTAGAGGTGCAGGCACTGGGGTGAGCTTTGAACATGGAAACCTGAATGAGGCTCAGACTGGAGGGTGAACCAAGGGAATGGAGGGGAAGAGGTCTCTTGGGTCAGCATCTGTTCGTACTGAACAGTTCCTTTTGCTACTGAAATGCATATTTTGGAAGTTTGCACAAGAAAATCCTCTGAAGGAGTACAGGGCAAGATTCCCCGAAGGCAAGACCTGCCTTTGGTGGTGAATCTGACATGCTCACCCAGTGAACACAGGGAACCCAAAGATATCAGATCCCCAGCATCACCCCCAGGGCCCACAAGGATAGTGGGCTGTCCACAGGAAAAGAGGGGTACACCTGTTGTTTATAAAAGGAGCTGTTTTTCAAAATTAAAGCAAAAAATGCAGGCATATGCCTGCACACACACACACACACACACACACACACACACACACACACACAGAGAGAGAGAGAGAGAGAGAGAGAGAGAGAGAGAGAGAGAGAGAGAGA